TTTCATAGGTACATTCCATGACTAAAGTCATTAAATTGTACAATTTAAATATGTGTAATGAATTACACATAATATTTACTTCAATAAAGTAGTTAAAAAATAAAATAAAAATAGAGGAAGCACTACATTATTCCATAGTCCACCCAATCAGTTTCTCAGGTTGGATTCATTCATTTCTTCTTTCAGCAAATATTTATTAAGTGCCCCTATGTACCACGCGCTGTTCTAGATGCCCGGGCTACAGCAGCAGGCAGTGGGGGTGGGGCGAGGAAGAAAGAAAAGGAAAACTCTCTATTTACCTGGAAACAGATTCTCCTGACAAGGAACAGATACTAAAGTTAGAGATGTCGGACAGACTGATGCAAAATAAAGCGGATAGGGAGTTACCAAGAATGACACAAAGTGGTTTGAATTTTAAATTGGGCTATAACTTCACAATTACAGATTGATAATTTAAATAGGATCGTAATTTTATGTAAGACCCCATCTGTTTGATCATAACATTCAAGCCAAGGTAGGAAAGAGGCGAGGGAAGTAAGGGAGGGAGGTCTTGCCACTTGGTGGAAGAGGGTCCAGGCAGAGGCCTGCGCAGGTGCACAAGCCCTGCCCGGGGGGGAGAGGATGGGGGCAGGTCAGGTGTGTCTGCCTCGGTACAGCTGGCCCAGCAAGTAAAGAATAAGCCTTAATATCGTCTAAATTCTTCCCCATGCAATATATTTTCTTGTGTGTAAATCATTCCTTTTATCTGATTAGTAGGTTATCCTTTCAGTTCTTTGGATTCTGAGCAGTGGTAACAGAGAACTGCTTTTAGGGATCTGTATCACAGTCCCCTGCTTTGTTTAGTTTCCCTAATGTACTGGGAAAGCCCATGCTTTCTGCAAGGGGCGGTGAAGGGAAACTGCTCTTAGGTGGTCAGTTAAGTGGTCCAGTTTTAATCTGTCCTCTTGGCCTACAGATAAGGAGCTGCTCTTGGAAGTTAAAGAGGAGAAAGGGACCCCAGGTTCCTCAAGGTGGGAGTAGAGCAATGGGTGTTCATAAGCCAGTATATACTGGTATCAACTAGCAGGACTGCAAATCGCTCCTTTTCGTTCACTTTCTCACAAGAGTGAATGAGCTCAAAACGTGAATTTCTCTGGAAAATCAAACAGATTGACGTATTCTGCTGTAACCTTGCTCATCTTCTTTTCCTTTATTTCACCATTTGATAAAGAAGTCTTTTGTCTTACTCTCAAAGATCTATGAAGATGGCCCCAAAATATGAAAATTCCAGAAATCTGATTACTCTCACAAGACGTTTCTAGTACCTACAACATGGCTTGAGCCATATCATAATTAGTGTGCTGGCTTCCTACACCATAATGCAAGTCACCTAAAGGAGTTTTTTTTTAAACAGAATAGCAATGCTCATACTCTATTACAGCTACTCTCCCTCCACAAGTAGCAATCCATATTAGAAATGAAATTTTCTCCTTGGTATAGAGAACTGTAAATAGTGCAATGCACCTTGCATACAGTGTTAAAGACAGAAATCCTATCATTACAGACAGTGGATGTCAGGATGCTCTATTTTTGTTGTTGTTGTTGTTCTGAATAGGCTGCATGCTGTGACTTTTTAAAAAGTCCTATAAAACCATTAGGGAAAACACGACCCTAATGACTTGTCTTGAATTATTTAAGATGAACCCAGTAGGCAAAAGATCCTGCCTGTGTGAAACAGCATTACGGCAACCAGAGAGTAGAGCTGAAAGAACGGTGCCAATGATTCATTTGCTTACAGAGGGAAAGTTGTTTATTTTTAAATTAAAAACTCATCATTATCTTGGCAAAGCCTATTTAAGTAACATATGGAGGGAGATCCACTCTGGGAATATGGCAGCTTTTGCCAATGAACATTTTTTTTTTTTTTTTTTCTTTTGTCTTTTTCCGTGTCCGGCAACGGATCACAACCCTCAGTGTTGCCCCCGTACCGGACCGGGGACCGGCAATGGGATCGCAACCCTCGGTGTTGCTCCCGCGCCTCGCTCAGCCAGTGAGCGGGAACCGGTCTGCATGTGGGATCCGAACCCTCGGGCGGGAGCGCCGCCGCGCTTCCCAAGCGGCGCACTATCCAGTGCGCCACCGGGAACATTTTTTAAAAGGCTGTATGGTTGTGGTCTTGAATTGGACTTGAACACACCAGTCTTTGGCCAGTCCCTGACTAAGGGAGATACCACCACCTGCTCAGCATTTTGTTCCATAGAAGAAATCGGTTATAACACATGGAAGTGCTATGTACCATAGAATATTTCAACATGTTATTTGCTAATTTTAATAAATGTATCATTCAAAATTATTAGAAAATTTCATTTGCAAAGCCTAGTCTTTAAGTAATTCATGAGAAACTTTAGAGATGAATAAAAATCACTTGGCCGAATTCAAATCACTCGTTTCCTAGTTCTGAATGAATTCCATTTTTAATGTGATAGAAGTTCCACGTTGATACTGATTTAATATTCCCCACCCACCATAAATCCAACTTCAGCACAGAAATAAAGTTGTTTTGAATACACAAAATAATCAATAAAAATGCATTTTTATTTGAAAAGTGTGCAGAAACAATCACTGAATACAGTCCTCAACCATATTATTCAAACCCAGACACCACAAAATCATTGGATGCTATGATTTCTGAAGCCACTAGAACTTTGGTACAACAAAATAATGACCTGACAGTGTTTGTCAGGATCACAGTCTATTTAGGGGAACATAGAATAAAAACTCCAGTTTTAAAGTTCTAAGTCACATTCATAGCACTGGACAAAACAGAGATCTGTGCAGGAGACAGACAAAACAATCAAACGTGCTTAGTCTAAAAATGAGGATAATATTACTTAAAAGAAAACTGTTGGGATACAGTGAAGCACTTCAGTGTCATGTTAGAACATTGTCTACTTTGAACACATTAACTGAAGCAGGATAATTGATTTTTCTTAAATAATTTCAGATACAATTCATATCTTTTACAAGGCTATGAACACAAAAACCCTATTTGTACATGGAAGATTTTGACCAAGTTGTAATGTACATCTAGAATATAATTGGTTTCCTTGAAAGAAAAACAGAATGATATACAGATTGAAATTGAACTCATGTTTTTTCAGTAATGAGATATATTAAACACTTTCAATCAGATACAATGACCTCAAGATGCCTACCCGTGGGTAGTTTCCAATACCTCTACCAAAATTAGTGTGTTGTCTCTGCTATAACACTTGTTTCCACAAGTGGTTTAAATTATGACTGTGGTGGGTTTTTTTTTTTTTTAATTAGTTTTAAGCTTGTGATAATATTGTCTGTTTATGAAATGAAACATAATTTACAAATCACTTTCTTATATATATTTTCCTCTGAATCTGATATGAACCCTATGAGGCACACCAGGTTCATAAGCTGCATATGAGGAGAAGCCACTAAAATATATAATGACGTACTTGTAGTCCTCAAATTATTCTTCTGGCCACTTTTCTTTCTACAACACTTGGCTTTCTCTAAAAGAGCATTTGAAAAATAATCACCTGGAAAAAGAGTAAAGATAAGCATACATTATTACTTTGCTGGGACAGACACAATTTCAATGCACCAACAGATATAAGGAAAACAGCTGCTAGTTAAAAAAGGGATCCATGGAAAAAGAGTAAAGATAAGCATACATTATTACTTTGCTGGGACAGACACAATTTCAATGCGTCAACAGATATAAGGAAAACAGCTGCTGGTTAAAAAAGGGATCCGAGCATTTGAAAAATAATCACCTGGAAAAAGAGTAAAGATAAGCATACATTATTACTTTGCTGGGACAGACACAATTTCAATGCACCAACAGATATAAGGAAAACAGCTGCTAGTTAAAAAAGGGATCCATTAGGTTACAGTCAGACCTGCCGTCCTACAGAATTTGCTAGCAATCCTTAAAGACTAAGCCAGGGATATTTCCCTGTGAGGGATATTTGCCATGACTGTCACTACCTGTTGGAAAGGAAAGGGACCAGGAAACAAAATTTAAATCATTCAGTCCAAAGATAGATGATTCCTTTGTGTGTGTGTGTATTTTTCCCCCCTCAAAAGATGACGCCCTTTTAAATAGATCCACTATTTTGGTACTAATGTTTTTATTTTTTGTTAATGATATTCTCTCCGTATATGAAGTTAGAAAACATCTCAACCATAGACTATTGGTACAAAGAACTCAGCAGAAAAGCATCTTGGTGATGCTACTCCTTGAAATATTGATCAAAGTGCAATTTATGAGAAAATCAGATTTATATAAACAAAATGTTTCTATGTTTTCAGAATTTGAGGGCAATAATGAAATATTTGGTGTTTAAATATTTTTATTAGCTCATTTCTAAGGGCATAAACCTCTACTTGGCAGATAAAAATGATCTGTATTTGCCATGGATCTCGTTACAAAACGTATGTTCCTCCTTTTTTAAAAAATCTACCTAAAAATCAACCTTTTAAGTATGGCCTTCTCCATGTTCTGCTATATTTAGGGGCAAAATTTAGACAGCTTTTATCACTTATTTCTCTTTATATTTCTTTCTCAACAATGTCATTGTAGTTGAGTCTTCACAGAAGAATTGTAAGGCAATAAGTTGATAAAATTCTCTATATATCCAATGATGATTTTGATCAGTTCTGCTTTGTGAGACAAAGAACTTCATGGATTTATAAAACCTTGAGACAACACTTATCTCAGATAATAGTCTAATCCATTTTCATGTTTAAGAGCTCAGCACTCTCCCCAGAAACAAGCTGATATCACCTTGGTCAAAAATCAAGAAGAAAACATAGCATATGGTGAATTCGTAGATAACATTTTCAAATATAGACAGCATTTTGGCATCTTTAAAAATGATAAAGCTTTCTCTAAAATATTCAAATACATTAGACTTCTTTTAATGCTTTAAAACTTGGTAGTACAGGGTGAAAAGCAACTCTTCTATCACTTTGGCTAACATCAGCCCTCAGATCTTCTTTTTAAATTATTACGTTATCTTAGGGAACCAGAAACTTGGAATACTATTTCCTTACAGTTTGAATTTTAGATTATAATTCCAAAATCTTTTATGGATGAGGGTTTTCCCTCAAGTTTTTGATGTGATACACAACAAGGAAAGCATATGTGCCCTTTTTAAGTGAACAGAGACATAGAACAGTGAGTGATCTTGCTTATAGGCACAAGGCTCCAGGATCGACATATGCCTAGTTACACAATCCATCTACCACACCATATTGCTTCTCCGTATAACTGCTGCGTGCACTCCATTGGCGAGAAGACACGGGCTTCATCAAATCTGGTGATTCCCAGTGGACTCGATTTACAGCTTAAAATATATATTATTGAATTATTTCTTAATGTAGTCATATTCTTCTCTATGGTCAAACTTCTCTTTCTTATAATGCAGACAAGAAAAGGCTGATTAAAACTCTTGCCTGGTTCATGCTACCTGAACAGGTGGGCAAAGAACAATTTATGGTAGAAGCATGACAAAGATACCCACTGATACACAGAATGGTCCATCTGGGTAAAAATAACAGATAAAATATTTGCTTTAGGAAATTCTGGTTTTTAATTTTTTTTCCCCAATGTGATAGCTGATAATATGGAAATAACAGCAAATTGGCTAGAGTGGTAACTTAAAGGGGCTTTACAGCTCTTACAGGGAGACCCACAAGCTCAACTCCTGGCACTTAGCATTTTCTCTGCTTGTTACCATCATCAGAGAGAGATAGTATATTCTCTCACCATTTTTGATACATTTTTCAAAGAATCATTCTTTTTTTTTTACATTAAAAGGTAACTTGTCCCTAATCATAAAAGTCTCAAGTAATGCTTACTCCTTAAGAAGTAGGCTAGGAGACCAGGAGAAGGGAATAGTAATCTCCAGAGTTTGATAAAAAGTCCTTACATCCTTTGCTGAAGATATCAGAAGGCCTTGTGCTGTGTTAGTGTCTCTGTGAGGCCTTCCTATAATATAACATTATAGGAAATGAGCTATGTGGCTGGAGACAAATTTGGTCACAGAGGTATCTGAGGCACTGAGTTAGAACAATGTAAACATCAAATCAGTGTAAACACTCCAGAAATGGTTTCTATATCAGAAATACAATATGGTTCACTAATGCGTTTGGAATATGAGTATCAGGACACATCTTGGCTAAAAATACATGCTGTTGACGGATAAGGGGGGTATGGAATTCTTTAAAGCAGTCTGAATATTTCATGACACCAGATCAATTTTAAATTGTAAAATAAATTATACAGAACTATTAATCCCAAAATAATGAGAGGAGGAATTTTCGATAATGGTTACATAGAGTTTGGGGTCAGATGCAAATTTTACAGAGAAAATGTGTTTTTTTAGACCAAATATTTATTTATAAGTAGAATAATATTTTAAATTAATTTTCTCATCTGTTTTAAATTTCATTGCACTTGAGATTATTACCCAATAATTGTTATTTCTACAGGCATAGTTCTATAATTATGGGTATCAATGCCCTCTGCTTCATGCTCCAGCTATCAAATAATGATCTTAAAATAGACCCTGAAAAAACACTCATTAAATAACTGACAATGACAGAATCTTGGCATAAGTAAATCAATCATAAAACTGGAAAATGAATAGAAACAAAAAGACATATAAAATAGAATTTTATAAAGGCTAAACATTCCCTATTACGGAAAAGCAGGGGATAAAACAATTTGAATCCAAAGAAGAAATGGATATATTGACCACAACAGTTCGCCAAATTTTACCTCAGCAATGGTTATATTGTTTCTGCTTGCTCTTCTTCTGGAAGAAACATTTTAAATGTTAGCTAGTTGCTTTCTACCTTCATGGCATAGGTAATGAGGTCATGAAGTGCAACCCAGAGAAAACACCATTGGAGGGAATACCCAACCACAATTGATCTTGGAAGCTGGCATCGTGTTGCAGAAATTAGAGGAACCGAACAGTTAGCACTGAGAGTTTCACTGGGGGCTGATGCCATAAGAGCTTCCAAATTGTTTTGATTCGTGGCACATTTCTGGGTCTAGTCCATTCTAAGAACATTATAAATAGACATTCTTTTGGATCTGTGTTTCTGAAATAGATTTTATACCAGATGGAGGTTGGTAGGGTGATATTGAAAGGGGAACTGGGAGTTTAGGATCTCTAATGTTTCTAACTTAAAATAAATATGCACAGAGTATGAAAAAATTAGGTTTGATTAGAAAAATTTTATAGAAAGAGGAACCATCCTGTCAAAAAATCATAAACTCATCATAAAAAGAGAAAACTTGAAGTACATTGCCTTTGTTATTTAAATATTTCAGTCACTTCTATCAATATTTTCATAGGAAGGGTTGTGCGTATCAGAAACTACAATTAAAAACTAATATGTTAGTTTTGACACAATAATAACAGTCCAATGGAAAATACTTTTGTGATCATTTTTAGAAAGAAAAGGCAGCTTTATGTGAAAAAATAAAGCAATTGACAGAATTTTTGGTGAAATAATGTACAGTTGTATCCCTGCCCAACCCTTAAATATAGCTCAACTACAGGGGTTTCGCCTTAAACAAAATAAAAACATATTGTAATCCAGAATGAGGTAACAATTTTTATGTGATTAATGAAGTGAAAATTTAGAATTACCATAGAATTGATCCATCATTATTATGAAGTTGTTGATCTACAAAGTGACAAACCTGCATTTCTGCAGTTGATTCAAAGTAGGGGCTGGTGTAGGCTGGAGGGAAGAAATGTGATTTAGGGTTTCCAGTGCTTTTGTAAACTAAAAGGAAACCCACAATTAATAGTCACATTTTGTTTCATATCATCAGCGTATTCTATCTCAAAAAATTTTAAGGCTAAATAGTTTTTCATGACTATTTAAAAAAAATTAATGAACAGCAATGATTAATTTCTCCTTGTGACTACTGTATCAACATTTGCTAAGAAAAATGAAATGGAAGGCTGAACGATGAATCTACTTCTAAAATGTTGTTTATAATGGAAACCTTTGGTGAGTCTCTAAATTGCAACTGATAATGTCAGCTTCTAATTGGCTTGAGTGAAATTTGGCTAAGTAACTCTTTCACCTCATCTGTAACAGATACATTTAATTTCAGCTGTCTAAATGCCATATTCCCATACTTCCACTCCCCGCCGCCCCAGGTCATTTCTCTCGAACTCTTTCACAGTCCTGTTCTTGTCTACCTGCCATGTATTAAGAATATAAAATGGCATTATTACATAATCTCTTACATTTTAGCAGAAGTGTGACATTCATCCAACTCATAACCTTCTCAGTAATTTAGTCATTCTAGTACTGCTTATTGGGTGCACATGGTAATGTCATTCTTAATAAACCACATGGAGTTCTTCATTGTGTATCCATTTTTAGCTATTATGGTTTCTCCAATGCAAATCTAAAAGTACGAATCAGATTCTACATAGGTAAATCCAATGTTTTTTTTTTATAAAAAATCTGCCTATGTTCTCCCTTTCAGTAGCCTATCCCTTTCTCCAATGTGACAAAGGAATTTTTGTTTTAATGTAAAACTCACTGACATTTCTTCTTTTATATTCTCTTATATACTCATCTTCTTTATAAGAAAACCAAATTGAGCATCCTTGATAATCATACTAGGAGATCCTTGATCTTGTTTGGATTGGCCTCAGGAATAACTGGTCAATTCTTTCGAACACTATTGACCATTCTGGTTTCTTAAAATAGACTTTCTGGCAGAAAAAATGGACATGCAATTGTGCATGGTCTACACAACAACAATTTTGTGGTTTGTCATAGTGTTTGGAAGTAACATTTGAGTAGGGTTCTTGATTATCAGTTCCCATGTAGAGTCTAGCAGGCACATTTCTTCTCTGCTGGCTTTTCCCCATCTAGCTTTCCAGAATTTCCACCATTGACAGCGTCGGGGACTTGTGTCTTCTCTATGCACTGTTCCATTCGCTTCATTATTAAGTCCAGAAGGGTTTCTACAGCTTTCTCCACATTCTGTCCAGTCGCTGCACTTGTTTCAAAATATGGTATGCTAGCATAGAAAAGATGACAAATATTTTTGAGAAGAAGAAATCAGAAGAGATACAAACGAGTCACACATGCAAAAACATGACTGGCTGAGAGATTGTGAAATAATCATGTTTTTGCTGGCTAAATTAGAATGCATCCTTGTTTTTTCTGAGTGAGTAAAAATTGGTGGGCTGTGCTATGGAATGGTGATAACCAGTTTTATGAGCAGGAAAACTAATATGAGAGATAGGAAGTCGAGACTGAGGCATTATCACTCTTTTAAAAAATAGGAGAAAAATGCCTAAACTAGTTCTCAATATTACTCTTAAAATATTACTTCCCTTCTAATCAATTTTCTAGAAATCTCACTTAGAAATCAGGCATGTATTGAATAGGATGTTCATGAAAATAGAGTCTATATTTATTTGAAATTAAAAGTTCCATGAAGACATGGAACTTTTAAAGCTCTCAAGGAGAATTCTTCAGTAAAAAATGGGCAGATATGATGAAAGTGCTTTAATATTTAAAATGATGACAATTTCTGCCATGGTACTTAATTTACAATTAAATGGGATTTTTTTTTTTTTTAGCTGCTATTCAAGCTCAGCTACGTAAGGATTGCATTATCATGTCCATGTCAGGTATTATTCCTTAGATTCTTGCAGCTATTAATTGAAAGGCAGTAGAGGATGGTGTTTAAAGAAGAGTATAGTGGATTTAATTTAAGCTCTGCTACTTAATTGCTATGTGGCCTTATATCAGGTACTTAATCCCTCTGTGATTCAATTCTTTATATATAAAATGAGATAACTCTGGTGCTTTCTGCATATGGTTATGAGGGATTAAATGAGTTAAAGTCTAGGAACAGTTGCTAGCACGTAAGTATTCAGTAAATGTTAGGTGCCATTATTATTAAGTAATTCATTAAAATATTACATGTATTCCTTTGGAAGATCTTTTTAATTCACATACTGTCCTCGATTCAAGGGAATTCCTTCAAATAGCAATCTTGTGTCTCTGCTCCATTAGTCGAGTAGCAGTATGCAAGGTCAGATGACATCTCAGTGTAACTGACTTACCTGTATTTATCAGCCAGATCTCGGGCTTGCCGTTCATTGACTTCCCTCTGATCTAGAAGGTCTGCCTTGTTGCCAATTAATACTATATCTGGATTTTCACAATAAGCATTTGCTTGCAGTTGGCCTTGGAAAGAAAGCAGATGGAAACAGCAAGTTAGTTATAAACAAGTGATGTCAAATGACTGCTCATACCCCAGATTCCTAGTCTAATCGTTCATCTCCAGTTTGGTTGCTTACTAGCTATGTTAGCCAAGTTACTTACGCCTTTCAGTCACAGTTTCCTCATCTGTGAAGTGGAGACAATGCCTCACAAATAGCAGACTGTGAAGATGACCAATAATATATATGAAGCATCTGTATCAATACCTACCTGTGCTCTTCTACCTCTGAGATGGACATACTGCTCTATAATATTTGTTCCTCAAATGTAAGTGGAGATAATGAAACATGATTTTAAAGTGTACGAATTTGCTTTTTCCTTTAGGAAAAATGTTGCTACATTTCTCTCCCCTGATGTCCAAAGTGATGATCTATAGAGTGGACCATTTTTGAATCATCACAAATTCATGTAGAAACAATTTTAAGATGGGTAACTTCTTTTTCTTTTTTCTCCAGGAAACTGTTGGGGGAGGGAGAAGGAGAGAGGAAGGAAAGAAGGAAGGAAGGAAGGAAGAAAAAAGGTAAGAAACCTGTCACCCTGTGTTTCTGAGGTTATAGAGGCTACTTTAATGTCTATCTTATGGCATGCCGTGTGCTACCTTGCTGGGACCAGAGGAAGAAGACAATGGCTTACCCTCTAACACCAGGTAATTGGGTGTTAGGAATTAAAGGGTTATTAGAAATGGCAATGAATTATCTTAAATCCCAACAATATCCTTCCAGAGTATTAAAAACAAGAAGGAGTCTCATCTGCCTTGAAAGAGGATAAACAAACCATTTTCTGAAAGAATCTAATAAGCTTATTATCTCCTTATCTCCTCAGAATCTAATAATACCACCGAAATTTGAATAAGGAAGTACAATACTAAACAGAAAAAAAGACAGATCCTAGGATAAACACTCATTTGGAGAAGCAATTAAGAAAGTCAGAATGTGTTTTTTACCCATTGCTTGCAACTATGCTACTGAACTGACATTGAAAGTGGTTATATATACATAAATTATTAACTACGTATTATATTCAAGGGTACTTCAAAAAGTTCATGGAGAAATATGTATTATCTTTTAATTCCATTTTTTCTATGAACTTTTTGAAGTACCCTCATATAATATATTATTAATTATATGCATATGTAGTAATAAGAAATACCTATATTTTGAGCATCTACTCTGTGCCAGCCTTTCTTCCAGGTCTGGGGTATCACAATGGAACAAAATAGACAAGGTCTGCACTTTCACAGAGCTCACATTCTAATAGTGGAAAGAGTAAAAAACACAAGCAGAGAAAAAAAGTACATAACATAGTGTCTGGTGGTGGCAGTGACCAAATGAACTTTCAGATGTGTTAGGGGGATTCAGAGTGATAAAGATAGCTATGTTAGATGGGGCTTTAAATAATACAATGTGGCAACTCTGAAAATCAGATTCTCACTCCTCCCCTGAGTTTTTGTAGTTACTGTCTGTTGTTTTTGTTTGTTTCTTTTGTTAAGGGACGCCCCAACCCCTACTGACCTTAACATGTGCATTCTGCTTCTGTACAAATCGCTTGCTAAAATAAATGGGGGAATAAACAAAGTGGCATAACCAACGCCATTTTAGGCTGCTCCGCCATTTTAGGCTAGAAAGTCCCTATGGGGAAGCCAGGGTGGGGAGGGGCTACAGGGCTAACCACAAAATTAGCTTATGTATCGCTGGCTTGCTTGCATTGGCTAGATTGTGTCAGGCGTGAAAAATTCCCGCCTAGCTAAAAATAAAAGCTGCGAGAGGTTTCAACGAGGTTTCAACTTGGGGCTGCGCTTCTCCATTGGCCTGCATAGCCCTGGTTGCCAGAAATAAACTCTCTTCCTTTTCCTATCACCTGGTTCTCGTGGGCAAATTTCTTTTACCTGTCAGATGTTGGCCATAACAGGGCGGTTGGTCAAGGAAGGCCTCTCCCAAGAGATAAATAAAGTTTGGGCAGGGCCGGCCCGGTGGCGCACTGCTACAGTGCGCCGCTTGGGAAGTGCGGCGTCGCTCCCGCCGAGGGTTCTGATCCCACATACAGACCGGCCGCTTGCTGGCTGAGTGAGGTGCGGGAGCAACACCGAGGGTTGCAATCCCGTAGCTGGTCCCGGTCCGGTACGGGCGGAACCCTGAGGGTTGCAATCCGTGGCCGGTCATGAAAAAAGACAAAAGGGAAAAAAAAAAAAAAAAGTTTGGGCAAGAACTCGAAGGGATTAAAGGAACTAGCACACGGCTGTAAATAGGAGAAGAGAAGTCAAGACAGAAAGTATAGGAAGGGCAAAGGTCTCCAGGCAGGAATGTGCTCTTCCTCCTGGGAATAGAGTGAGAGCCCTTTTGGCTGGAGGCAAGACACCTGGGCCCCAGTAAGTGTGAATTAGAGAAGAAGCCTCGGGCCTGATCACAATGGCCTTGTACATAGGTGAAGGACTATGAATTCTATTTAGGTGAGATGCAAAAGACTGTCTCCTCCTCTCCTACCTCCCAGCCCCGCAGCATCTACAGTGAAGCTGAAGATGTGCTGAGGTCCACTTTGATGTTATCAATGGGCGAAACCAAGGATCACACATAAAAGCCACAGAAGGTCTTGAACTGGCAATGGGAGTTTTTGGAAGGGCACATATTTTTAAATAAAGAAGGATACCACTTTCTATCCTAAATGTCCTCCTAATTTTTGGTCTTCTACTTTAGCCTATGTGTCAATCTCCTGTGTTGGTTTCCTTGGTGTCCTAGTCTCGTTCTCTCCTCTCTCCATGTACATTCGCTGGGCAATCTCATCCACTTCCCTGGCTCAATGATTGCCTAGATGTTGAGGAACCCCACACGTAGAGGTCTAGATCTTTTCTGCGTTTCACACTCTGTGCCTAATTACTTGCTGGATATTTCCACTTGGAGGAAACTCAGGCGCCTTCAGTTTCTTAGGTCTAAAACCAAACTGGCCCCTCGTCCTGATTTCTTTCTCTGTCAGTGGTATCCCCATCCTTCAGCTGCTGGGCACCAGCCACACTTCTCTCTTGACCTGCTCTTTTCTGTCCATCTCCTCTGCCCCTACTCTCTCACCTGGATAACTTCAACAGCCTTTCATTAGGCTTCCAGTGTCCAATTTCGTTTGAGACCCTACCCACCCCCCATTTCCTCCCGTTGATTACATCAATTCTCTACTGAAAACATATTAATGGTCATGCATCACTCTTAAGATAGTGCCCCAACTCCTGAATAAGCTGTCAAGGCTCTGCAGGAACTGATTCTTGCTCATCTATCCAGCCTCATCTCTTGACTACCCACAGTCATGCTGACCTTTTACTTCTTAGAAAGTTCACTCTCCTCCCCTGGGCTTTCACACATGCTGGTCTTTCTGTGGGTAACCTCGTCATAATGCTTTCTTTTCCTCCTACCCCTTCCTTTAGCCTGGGTAATACCCACTCGTACACTGTGCATGAGTACATACATAGTGGTGTCAGAGGAAATGTCTTTCTTTAGGGGCTTTCCCAACACCCGTGTCTGGGTATGGGCTCCTCCTGGCAGGCCTGCCTTTCACCCTGTGTTTTCCTGTTTCTGTCCTAAGGCTATATTGCAGTTGTTTATCTGCCCAAATTCCAACTTAGACTGCAAGCTCCAAGTGAAAAGGAGCTGGGTTTCTAACCTGCTATCCATTACATTTTCATGGCTCAGAACGTGGTATTTGCTCACTAAAAATTTGTGAAATTAAAGAGAAAGAAAGAGAACAGTAAAATACATAAAATTATTAAAGATTTAAAATGACTTCAATAGAGAATGATACTTTTAATACAAAAGCAGGGAAAATGTTAACTGCTATCTATTTCCAAAGTAGGATTTTTTTTTTAAATAGGGCACTATCATGATCTAAAAATTGAAGAGTAGACATACCAAAAGATTTACTCAATTTTTCCTTGTGAATTTGTTTCTACCATTCCCTGGAAGCTCACAGAGATCAGAGTGCTTTTATCAAACTGTTCTTTCCCTTTGGAGACTAGCTGTACCCACAAAATTGTCTCCTACTCAACCATAACAGTGCTGTGGCTAAGAAAACTGTTATTTGTTCTCTCTGAGAGAGAGAGAGAGAGAGAGAGAGAATCTGTATGTGTGTGTATCTCATTTGAGAATAAGACTGAGTGTTATTCCCTTCTTATTGCCCACAGCGTATGACAAAGTTACTCAAAACATGCTTGTTGTAATGATCTGATTGGGATAAACCCTTCTCATCCACAGCAACTCGAGTAGGATACTCTTGTTCTGGAGCAGGCTTATACCCTGGACAATTCTGCCCAGTGAGTGGGCAGGATGGGGAAGGCTAGCAACACATAAATAAACAGACTCCAGATTCACATTGCTGTGGGTTGATTGAATTGTGTCCCCCAAATTCCACATATTAGAAACTTAATTCCCACTATAACTGTTGAGGATGGGAAATCCTATTATAGTAACTGAAAGGTGGGTCCTTGAAAAGGTGATTAGATTCTGAGGACCATGCCATAGTGAATGGATTAAAAATGGGGGTCATGGGCATGGTTTTGAGCTTTAAAAAGGAGAGTGCACCAGGAGCTCTCTCTGATCCACCATTTTCTGCCATATGAGACCCTGGATCACTGTCACCACCACCAAGACCCTCACCAGATGTGTTTCCCAGACTTTGGACTTCCCAGCCTCTGAAACTGTAAGCAACAAATTTTGTTTTCTTACAAATACCTTGTTCCAGGTATTTTGTTATAAGCAACAGAAACAGACTACTAGAGACATCATCACTAGCTTTCTCTCACTGGGAACTAAGGCTTTTATCCTGATGTAGGCCTAAAGAATACAGGCTGCCCCTTTTTCCTTCTTCCCATGATGTGACTTTTATCAATAACCATTATCTTACATGGATTGCACTGCCAGACATCCTCGGGCACAGATCTGAGGTGTGAGGCATTGTTTATCTTGTTGCTTAGCTACACCTTATACATACAGAATGCAAAATTCACCTAAGTGTTACCAAGACTGCCCCTGGCATTCCCCATTCCCCTCATAGAGCAGCTGTCTTCAGCGGACAGAGAAGCCTGCCTTCACGCTAGGCTGACATATCATGTGCGAGGACATATGGGAACCACATTTTCTCATATACTTCTTCAAAAATGAATTAAATTGGTCTATAAAACATACATCTTTGCAGTAACAAAACTGACATATGAACAGAGACTCTTGTGAGGAATGACTTCCGAGGAACCAGCAGTGTTGAAGGGTGTGTGTGAATGAAATTCGCAGTCAAAAAAACTAACAGAGAGGGCCCAGCACCTCTCCTGGCGTTTGCACTCACTGAAAGTGAGAACATTTTGGATGCATTTCAAAACCGCAAGTGTTTACAAGCATAAGCATTCTAAGACATATGATGCAGAGTTTGGAGGTACATGCCTTCTAAATATCTTCTCTGCCAATCTTCTGCCATTTTTTATTTAATTTAATATTGAAAAATTTCATTCGCTTGGTCTTAAGCACTTTGAAAATTTGGACCCCAAAGAAATATATGTTCATCAAATGATGGAATAGTATCTCCAGCTCTCAGTAATCAACACTTCTCTGTCTACTGAGTATCTGTTATCTTGAACATTGTTATTGGAAATAATGCTGAAGAACTAGGCAAGGTCTATACTCTGATAAACCTAATCATTTTGTCAGAGTGAGAAGTCTACAAGTAAATCAATGAACAGTAGTTAAAGACAAAAATAGAAGCTCCATCTTAGTACATAAAAGGTGGAATATCATTAATTGAGTAACTTATTGGTAATAGAATAGGTGTTGCAAGAGTTCAGAATAGGAGTTTGTTTGAGCTGGGGTGTTCAGACAGGCTTCACAGAGGAGGTGGAATACGCTCAGAGCCTGGTAAAAGGAAAGGATCAGGGAGAGTGCAGAGGGAATAAAATATCCTCACTGGAGGATAAAGGTGTGATCAAAATCTAAGAGGACAAAGCTGGCCACATGGCACGGGTCAGACAGAGTCTGTGCAGAAGAACAGAAAGCAGCGAGACAGGTCGAAACACCCTTTCTTCAACTTCCTCTTCAAGCAGCACTTATAACAGTGTTAATTTTCCATCTTCATTCACTCAGACTCTGAAAAAGGTTTTTCCTACTAGAAAATGCAAAGACAATACTTAACAATAATCCTCACAGAGATTTTTGAAAATCTGATTTTTGAAATCTGCTCTGTTAAGTAGAAATCATTTATTTTTACTTCTCCATACAAACGTCTATTTTGTAACCAAGAGAAGCATTGCATATTATTTGTTTTTGAAGTTCTCATACAGCATTCATTTTAAAGTTAAGTTTTTTTAAGCTATATGTATTTAGATACAAAGTAATTTACTGTACCGCTCTTGTCCTGCAGTGTCCCAAAGCTGAAGATGCACCTTAAACGCTTTCCCTGAAGATTCATTTTGTCCTTGTGTATTATAAACCTGAAAGATACAGTTTTCATCAATTGTTGTTGCTTTGGATTTTGTCAACATTCAAATTCTCTGGGTTCACTCAGCATGTTTTTTCTCGATTACTATAATCAAAGTTCATAGTGCAGAATAAATATTTGCTCTATTTTTTTTCAGAAGTATCACATATACTCTCACTTTTAAATGTCAAGTACGAGTACGATTTTCAACACAACTTAGGCATACTGCAAACTTAAATTAGACACCTTCTGTCATTTCCTCATGGAGGAAGCAAACATCAGATTTAGGACCCAAGTTCTAGATTCAAATACCAACTCTTCATTTAACCTCTTTGAGTCTTATTTCCTTATCTGCAGATTGAGACCCATAATCCCTTCCTACTTAACAGTTACTGAAAACATAAGTGAAATAACAGATATGAAAGCATTTTTTTTAAAAAACAGTTAAGTGCTTTAACTTATTTCCTTATCTGCAGATTGAGACCCATAATCCCTTCCTACTTAACAGTTACTGAAAACTTAAGTGAAATAACAGATATGAAAGCATTTTTTTAAAAAAACAGTTAAGTGCTTTACAAATACCTGAATGTCTTTTACTGTAAAATGGACTTTCAAAATAACTTAGACATGAAATATGCACAGAATTTCTCAATAAGTTGACACAGGACATTTCAGGCCTTCTTTTACTAACCATTTTTCAAAGGCTTTTTTAGATAAGCTTAATTTCAAAATAACTTAGACATGAAATATGCACAGAATTTCTCAATAAGTTGACACAGGACATTTCAAGCCTTCTTTTACTAACCATTTTTCAAAGGCTTTTTTAGATAAGCTTAATTAAAAAAAAAAAAAATCTGGCCTTTTTGCTTTTTAATCAAAGCATAAAAATTTTAACATTTCATCAGCTCCCCTAGGTATAGTTTAGTGAAAATGTTTTAAAGAGAAAATTTTGCAGAAACTTATACCCAGGTCAGTGGGGACATTGGGGAGGGAAGAAGGCAGAAAAACCCAGAAAGGGTTGGAAGCCAGTTTGCTAAGACTATACTACAATGTACCGACTTTCCGATAAGGTGCAGGACATGATAAGAAACCATGATTTTACTTCTCAGGCAATGGCCTTCTAACCCTATTTCCTTTGTTTTCTTTGCCAGTTCTCAAGGAATGAGTGGATTTATGACATCAACTGGAAGCCACAGCCATCTTGGCAATCAAAAATACCTTGGATGGCAGTAAATCTGGCTGAGCTTCTGTGCCTATGCTGCACGTCTCACATGTCACAATATCCTTATTCCTGTCATTAGCGTCTAGCATAGGAGAAGGAAGTGGTTGTGATTCTCACTTAGACTCCCTTATCTTGGAAAATAGCGTGGATTGGTCTCACATTCTGCTCATAATAAGCCAGTGATTGATGGCTGAGTCTACACGTTAATAGAAACGCAGCAAGAATGTACAAAGCTCATGTTACAGCTATTTGCCAATCATTCTTTCAATCTCTTTGTTACGAGTAAGGAAAGGAACACTTGGTCTTGTTGAGGAATTTAACTCTGATCAAAGAGTTAACGTTTTCAGATCCTGAATAATTCAAGTTTTGAAATATTCCTTAACGTACAGAAAACACTATACAAATCCACAAATGATTTATTTTAACTGTCTTGTATACTCCTGAGTCAAGAGATAGAGGCATTCAATATTTTTCAACCAAAATGTTACTTATACTTGAAAAGTAGTAAATGATATTCTAAAGTAAATTAAACTGATAGGTTATGAATTTCCTGTGATAAAAGACAGACACTTTGCGATGCGATAAACATAGCTTCTTAATTCTTGTTTTACATATGGGGATCAGTAACAAGGTTAAAAGTATGGTTCAGAACTCACCACACGCTTTTCCCGAAAGTCTATTCCTACTGTAGTGATGAATTTGGGATTGAATTTATTGTCCGTATATCTATAAAGAAAGGTCGTCTTCCCCACCCCTGAATCTCCAAGGGCCAGGAGTTTGATCAGATAATCATAGTCCCCATCGGTCATAGTGATGGTCTTGGTGGGCCTGTGTAGGAGAGGAAAAACAAGTATGTATGATTAAAGGTAATTTTTCTTTGCCTCTTATCAAAACAACATAAGTTGAATTTTCAAGGTCAAAAAAAATCAAATGACTCTATTCTGCCAAATCCCAAATTAACTTAATCAAAGCAGCTTCAGGGGTAAGGGCACACCTATTATTTCACTCACTACAAATCTTTTTACATTATGTCACTTAATATGGAAAAATATGCAAAATAACCATTTCCACAGCAATAGTAGACTTAAGAAGTCATAGACTTTTCTTGGGATTAGGAGGATGGTGCTAGGAAGAGGAGCGTCACAGGGAACAGAAAACCTGGTCCACGATGATGTGGGCATGTTAGAGAGAGACTCTAAGTCTACATGCATAATGCAAGAGAAAAGCCCAGTGGAATATTTTGCAACAATTCATGCAGGATGAGCCTTCAATTANGTCACTTGCCATTTCTTCCAGTGCCCTGGCCTCTCCTGCTCCAGCCTTATTTATTCTGTTGTTACAGTGACTACGGATGAGGACCAGCCAAGGGCTACTGACAAGTGCCCCAGCACTGGTAACACCGGGAATACCAGGACACACATTTCAATGACACCATCACCTACTGAATACTTGGTGAAATTTCCACTCTTGAGTTTAGCAAAATGATTCACAATTTTCTGATTCATAGGTTATAGAAATGGGTTTGTCATGTTCTATGCAGAAAAAGGTCTGTGAACATTTTTCTAGAATGGAAAAATTTCTCTCACTATTATGTGAGGAGGAATATTTTCTCAACTCTGAAGATCCAGAGAATACTGTATTTCTTCAAGAATTCTGGGGTGAGTAGTTATATTTCAACAATAGCCTATTCCGTGGACATATCTATAAATCACTACATAATTCTCATAATTGTGTACATGTAAGAAAATGATGCA